TTCGTAATTGCTGATAAGCTAATTTAAGAAAGATCGAGATTTCGCAGTGTGTCGAATGGTTGAATAATATTTTTCCAGACGTAACTAATCGATGATGAATAGACTGCAAAACAGTCCGTATTTTTGCGTATTCAAGTACGTGCGAGCAGTCAAACAAAAGGCCGATTTCTTTCCTGATTTTGAGAAAAAAACCCCGACTGTTTTGCAGTGTAGATGATGAATGGCATCAACGAGTACTCGATGAGTAATCATTGGGTAATCAACTGATTAGTCATTGATGATTTGCTATAATCAATGGGTAATCGATGACTGGTCAATGCACAAAATTTTTGTCTGGCCTATCGGATGCTCATTGATGTCATTGATGAGTGATTGATGCGTTCGATTACTCATCGATTATCTAATGATTATCCATCGATTAGTCATTGATTACATATCTCATACAATTTCTAACAATTTTTTTTTCTTAACTTATTTCCGGTGATAAAAATTTAATGTTGATGGTTCTTGATGATAATAAAAGCCAAGTAGGAATTGAACTCGCATGTAAAAAACCAATATATAGGTCATGACGAAAACAGAATGGCAAATCAAATTTATTTATTGGACAGTAACTGAAATATCAAAAATAAGATGTTCAGAAGGTCGAGTCATCTGTCTTACTCTCTGGGCTGTTAGAGTCTGTGTCTTTGTTGAGAAATGCAGCCACTTCAGACTGCCTACCAGATAAAAGATCATGAATAAATAAAGCTTGTATTGTGATATTTATGTCAGCGAAGTCTTTGTTTCTTTATTTTCAATTTGGTATGGTTTGCATACCCGTGAGATTATATTGATAATTAATCAATGACTAATCGATGACTGAAAATTTTGTGGCGTATTGATCATTCATCGATTACTCAATGAATATCAGATATAATCAATGACTAATCAACTGATTACCCACTGATAACCTACTGATTACTCACTGATTTTATTGATGTTATTGATGTCATCGATTTGGTATGGTTTGCATACCCATGAGATTATATTGATATTATTAATCAATGAATAATTGATGACTGAAAATTTTGTGGCGTATTGATTTTTCATTGATTACTCAATGAATATTGGATATAATCAATGACTAATCAACTGATTACGCGCTGATTACCTACTGATTACTCATTGATTTTATTGATGTCATTGATGTCATCAATTAGTTACATCTGGATTTTTATAAAATTCTCATTTTGCAACATAAAATGACCTAATGTTCCAGCACTTTGTAATTTAGAACTTAAACATAACTGGATTTCTCTGATACTTGTTTTCTGTTAAGAAAGTAGAGTATGAATTGCTGTGATTTAAGGTTATTCTTATATGCCATCATAATTCATTTTATAGTCTCAGATATAGTCAGTTTTGCCAAAATTTACAGAGCTGAATAGATAGACTGATGAAGAGCCGCCCTCTCTCCTCATTAACATGAATCCTGCTGCAAATAGTGCCATTTTAGTTAAGCCCTGACAGATGGGATTAGGAATTGGATGGGTGACCAGCTGAAAACAGTATTTAATCCATTTGGGGGGTGGGGAGGAACAAAGTTTATTTCGGGTTTGCCTCAGTTTAACGCAAAGGTAGATTTCAGGGAAATAAGCCAGGTTTTGATGGCTAAAAGCCGAAGAAAAGGCATTTCTGACACGCATGGTCAAGAATATCGATCACTGGCAACAGGCAACCCCCTCAGATGGTTTATGTCACAATGTTTTCATGGGCCGATTTATCTTTATATATTAGAGCATGTTTTCCTCTGAAAATGGAAGCTTGGCACCATCCACAAGCACATTCAAAAATAAATATAAGAAATCAAAAAGGAAAACTAACAATCATCATTAAAAGGTCAAAAATACCATTTTCGGGTTTTTAGGTTTTACTGAGTGGTTTGTGGGACTTTTTTGTTCTGTCATTAGGAAGTGGCTGATCTCTCAGATGGCTGTGGTGGAAAGTTCTCTGTAGTCATTGTATCTGACAAATTTGAAGGAAAGCCACTTCTTGCACAGCACAGAATGGTGAATGATTGCTTAACAGAGGAGTTAAAAGACATTCATGCACTTACTATAAAAACAATGAAACCTGCACAATGGGAAAAACAGAAGGCATCTTAATGTAAAGTCATCATCATTGAAGTTGTCATCATTGCCAGTTGGAAAAATGCGGTTTGGATCTGTTACAAGGGGAAAGCTAGTTACTTGGACTCAGTGTGCTTGCTGCTTTTTTTTGGCCCGTAGTCATTATGATCTACAACAAGTAAATAAAAGTTGATATTTTTTCGGTGAGGAACATATTTCAAGTTCTTTCTTTCATTACTAACTACTAATATACATACAAACAGACAAAATATCACATCTTAAATTTCAGCATTCAGGTTCATAAAAGTCACTGCAACTGTAGTAAAGTTTCCTGACGTAAAATGCTGTGCTAAAAATACAAGCTAAGTGAAAGAACTAATAAAGGAATCTCAGATTAAGCAGACATCCTCTATTGAGCAGACACAATTCTCAGTAAATCCCCAAATTTTTGCCACATTTTCTGTAAAATAAACCTGCATTTAATAGACACTAGCAAGCTACAGTCTCAGTCAAAATTGTTGGGACACTTTACTGTCATCTTACTCTCCCAATGTTGGTGTTCAAGATTTGGTGAGTTAAGTTCAATAAACAACATTAGGTGGACTAGGAGATGGACCACAAGTAAAAAATTCAGTGTTCAGTGGAAGTGTCCTAACTATTTTTGTCTGAGACTTTAGCTACTTAATACAGTGGATACTAGCAAGCTACAATTGTAGCCTCCTCATTCAGGTTTCACTGCTACAGGGACTGAATTTCCTGTTCCTTTAGTTAGTAAGCTCTATTTTCCTACTCTGCCCCAAACCCACACCATCTAGCGGTCACTCACAGTTCACGGTGTGCTTGATGTTGCCCATTGTATTATTGTAATAAATAGAGAGTTTTTGTTTAATAATTCGACTTTCGCGCTAAAGAAGAACGCCTGATCGCAGGTTAAGAAATTGCTTTAGTAGCTTTTTATACTTGGCTACATCCTTACAATATTTCTACATTTTGTTTTTTCCGCGACCAGTGCTGGCTGGCTCATCCCTTAACTTGTCAACATTTGACTTGACCGATAAAACTATTCATTCAGTATTGACCAACAAAATGAAGAAACATTTGGCAAGATGTTACGAAAATTTGCTTTGACTTCCGCTTGGGTATTGCAGTCCTTTCCCAGGTATTCTATTTTTAGGACATTTCTTAGTCTCTAGTTTTTTCTCTGATAGACAAAATTGAAGAAGCCTGCTACAAAAACACTATTTGCTTGGCCGGTCAGGATTGTATGAAAAGCCAACAGAACGTCAGCTAAGAAAGATATAAAGGAACAAACTTGGCTAGTAATTTAATATGCGGAAGTTTTTGCGTGCCATCGAT